GCACTCGGCCGCCTCCCATCCGCACGCCGTCGCGTTGGCCATAATGAGCCCCGGGGTCTTGCACGCCGCGACCTCGAGCTCGCACTTGTTGGAGTACGTCACGCGGTCCGAGCCGCACACGGGCTGGTAGTACATCGGGCACACCGTGATGGCGCAGTCCGTCGGCGCGCTCAGCGACACGACAGTCGAGGCAGCGCACGCGGCGGCGAGAAGGGTCGAATAGATGGCCATGGTAATGAGAAAAGGCAAATTGAAAAGTGAGTCGAGAGGTTCATCGCCAACGTGGCGCAGCGACAGGCCTCGATTGCTTTTCACAACAGTAATATCCACCGCATGCGACAGAGCAACCAAGTGATCAGATGCACATACGCGTCCACGCCGGCTGGTGCACATCGTGCGGCTCGCAAGGACGCGATCCCACGCGTCTCTCTGCGTCTCGATCGCGCGTTGTGCGCTCTCGTCGTGTCTCGGGCGTCTCTACGACGCGGAGAGGTATCTCTGCGTCTCGTCCTCTCACAGCTCCCAAAGCTCCTCGCTTGCTCTAGAAACGAAGCGGTTTTCACCTTGGACGCCACAGCCTCCTGAACGACACGAGTAAGCAAATCACGCAAGTGCCATTGCTTTGGCGCTGGGACATCGCTCCCAGGGTGACCAGATTTGCTAGGCATGCAAACGGCAAGCGTGTCGTCATCGACCATTCGCAGGGTTGCGCCGGCGTACTACATGAGACAAGCGACGCATCTCGGCCTGTCTTGCAGCCAACGCGCTGGGTTCAAGTGCGCTCGCCACTATAATAGCTTCGTGGTACTTGACGGTATGTCCCATGTGTGACCAGATCGCAGGACGCATCTCAGAGCCTGTCGAGGCTGTGGTCTGAAACAGCGTGGCGCACCACATTGCACGTCGCGCAACTGCTGCGCGCTGCATCTCCGCTTGCCGCCTAGGCTCTCAATACAGGCGCACTGACCGTGCTTATGGCGTGCGATGGATGCACACGGCTTGCCACCATCGTCTTTCGTTGTTGTTGAAGTGGGATAGTTTCTCGCGGCACGCGTGAAGCTGGGTTTTTGTACCGAGGCCTAGCAAGGGCGCTATCTTGAACCGCCAGGCCGAACCGCCAAGATGGCGGCAGCTCTACTAGCTGTCTTATTATTAGCAAGGCGCAACCGACCAGATCGAAGATCAAGCACCCAAGCGTATTTGCGATTTGCTCGTCCAGCTCCAACCCTCTTAGCTACTCAACGCTCTTTTAACCCACCCACCAGTCCCTTCTTGGGCGGCGGCGGCCTCCCAACACGAACCCTGTTCCTCTCCCCCATGCACTTGCGTCTATAGCCGAGGGGACAAAGAGTCTATTTAGATACTACGTAGTATAATTTACACTGAACTGGATATGGTGGTGGACTAGCGATTCCAAGGTGCTACGACGAGCCGGCGGCCGAGAGGCTTAGCCGAACGGGGGTCGTGGCGTGTATACGGCTCATGTCGGAACAAAGTTGCCGCGTAGCCATGCGTCGTGACGCAGGGCTGCCATCATTTGGAAGAGGCGCAATGCTT